TACATGCCAACAGCGCATTAGCGAATTCTTCTCGAAATATCGCTCTTCCTGATGCACACATTAAAATAACTGGTATTGTCCTGAGCGATGCCTTGTTGCATGTTTACAGGTACTTGAGTAGCATTGGCGACACCACACAATCGTAGGCAAATAAAAAACTGTTAAGATAGGTTTAAATATTTTAATGATAAATAATCGCGTTCTACCTTGATTAAATAGCGTATAGTCGCGAACATCGAACTCATTTCTTTTTTATTTAAAACCTTTTAAGATCCAGTACCAAGTTTTTGAATTTATCCATTATCTTGTCACAATTACCAGTATAATTTTAATAATTGATTAGTGTTTATCCAGTACGCTGTTACTTATTCGATGTCACAATATAAATATCGAAATTATTTTGTTTTATGTCATAAAAAACATAATATATTTCTCCTTATGTGATATTCAACGTAATATACATAGAAGGAAAAAAAAATTTCAGCTGAACAACCGGATAAATGGCTCGCCGATTCCGATTTACGTCCCTACCAAGAGAAAATTTATAATAATATATAAGGGTCAAAAATATTTATATCGCTTTTGAAGTCAAGAAAGACGGTACACGGTTATATTATGGTTAAACGAACCGTGAAAGGGAGAGACGACAGAAAAATTGGGGCTTATTTCGATTTGTTGATATACAGCAGTGGTTCCTAGATATAATTACCCCCGCAGGGGAAAATTAACTATTCTGTGGCAGGACCGAAAAACCATATAATTAAATTTAAAAAAGAATGAAACCATTTCAATGTGGAACATTGGTTTGCTTGGTGGACTTGCTTTAAGCGAACAAATAATTATATTACATGTCTTTCGGGATGGGGTAAAACAGTTTTCCTAATATGTCATAGGGGTTACCTCTTTAATGAATAGTATGGTAATGAAAAGGTTAGAAACCACTGATATACAACATGCAGAGACTCCCTGAAGGCGAGATATTGACATTAGCCTGCATGCGAGTATCCCCGCAATAACGGTAAATGACCAGAGTATTGTATGTGTTACTTTGTACCCTGCATACGCAAGCAATGTTAAAAATGACCTCCCGAATTCAGGCCTAATGACATGCGGTACTGAAATCTCCCGCACCAATCATGCGCACCCTATATCCAGTATTTAGTTTCCATACTTCAATTTTATTGGTGCAGATAATTTAAGGCGCAGTGTTCTGTCGACGGTGGCTGTTAAAGTAATGTGTACTCGACTGTACAAAGTGAGTCGGACTATAATTACGTATGTCTCACCACCGTTCGTTCTTTATGAGCTCACCGTCCGTTTACAAGGTTCTAGAACAATTGCTAAAGAATTCTTCTGTCGAGTACCATTAAGCATTTTGGTGACAAATAGGTCGACTGATTATTTTAATAAAGAAAGTGTTCCAAGTTGGCAAAGATACCAATCTGAGAATAATTAAAAATATACAAAACGCTGAGTTAAAACAGTATGATAAATAAATAAATTCACAAAGAGCAAGAACAAATGCAACTGTTCCGTGAAATAGAATTTCCGAACATTGTTTTAAAGTGTAAAATTCAGGTTACTGTATTTGATTGGACATACAAGCATTCGTTCCACAAAACACATCCACGACCATGTTAATCACATAGGTACTAGAAATTCAGTGTCATCACACTTGAGAGCACCGCTCAGTTACGTAGTTTGTCTTGTCGCCGCCCTCCAAAACCAGTCCAGTACACTACCAATATTGACTCAGCTACTTTCGAACCTTTCATTCAGGCTTTGTGCCTTCGAGACGGTCCCACGGTGCCACGATTGCACCTCCGCGTCTCAATTCCTATCACCCGTGTTGATTTAAGACTGAGGTGTCAATTCTATAGTTTTCCTTCATTCATATTCACGTGGATATTGTAAATTTTGAGCTTCTGTTATAATTTATAGACACCTTGTATGGCCGTGGAAGGTTGTTATGTAAAGCGCGACATTGCCTTATTTGTGAATAACCGTCGTTGTATACGATTGCTCAACGCCTGTCAAGTTTACAGACATATCTTTTACGTTTGAACGGGAATGGAAAACTGACTACCGAAAATGATTACAGAATGTGTCGATGTTATCTACTTAAACCAGACATGGCATATGTATATTTTTTTAGTTTTAAGAAGCTCATTTGAATGCATGTAACGGGGTATTGAAAAAAAAAACATAATTTCTGACAAAAAAATGCTTATTTTTATATGCTTATAACAATATTTAATTAGAATTGTAATCAAAAATTTTCTAAGTTTACCTCAGACTCCATCCAACCCAAGGCATATATACAATAGTCAATACAATGACGAGGCTCGACTGTACTTCTAGATAAGTAAAGCCAGCTAGAAGCATAATCTAGTCTCGTCAAAGCATCCTTTAAATATTATTTCGAAACAACTGTTTCTAAACGAGCGCAGAGAACAAACGACCATTAACTGACCCTCAAGTTCCCTTTCTTCGCAGACGCTAACAGCTTATTACGTCCATACAGAGCATAAAATATTTTTTAAACTACCCGTAAAACTCTAGCCGGCAAACAAAGAGCCATTGAATAAGTACACCTGTGACGTCATTCTTGCAACAAATGGGTAGACTAAACATCTATGTAGGTAGCTAATATCTCGAAAAATAATGGAACAATAGCGAGGTATGACACATTCAGGACCGTCAAGGGTCAAGTCTAATACTCGAAGATGTATTAATCTTACACCTATACAATAAGTAATTTCATTTTATTGATTGACCATCTAATTTATTATCGATAGAACATCGATATTGGTAAGTCAATATAATGTCCATAGTACAAAATGTCCCGTTGCGTTTGTTCCGTATACACAAAGTATATTGGACGTCGAGCCTTTGAGCCGACCGAATGACTTCCCTGACACAACTCTGTAATCTGTTCGATCTAGTATACCAGAGAAAGTATTTAAAACGCTCGGTAACGTTATTTAATTACAAACGTTCAGACGTTGACAGCGGACATTTACGTTTTCTTTGTATTATTGAAATATCTTTACTCTTCCCACGCTTACTTTAAATTTCTAGACATAGGACAATCTTGTTATTCTTTAAGTCACTAGAGGACAATTTACACTTGGCCAAGTACGAGAACAAGTTAAGAAATCAGTCAATTAAGTAATATGTATAAGCTAATCTATCTATATCTTCAAGCCATCTATCTTGCGCCGGCTTTCTTTATCGATAACTCTTTCACAAGACAGAGGCTGAGGTATTTATGGAATTCCACATCACCCTTCTTTCAATCTGATCATGGAAGGTTTCTAGACTTCTCCATCATTTCAAGCAGTTAATAGCGTCCAAATATGATCGAGCGAGCACTAACTCTTAATATTTATTAGTGACAATTGTTTTAGTATCTAACTAATGACATTATTATCAGGCATACCTTTCAAAAGTTGTAATCTTCTACATAATAGTTAGAATATAATCCGCAACAAATAGCAAGTGAGATGGAATTTTGATATCGACTAGCGGATACAGCTTTTATTCAAAATAATAAATCTGCTGTGGACGTTTTAATCTATTACATTACCCAAATATCTGTTTGAAATTTATAAGATATTCAGCTCCATTTTGTTTATGATAAAGTTAGCCTAAATATATCCAACGTGAGTGCAAAGTGCTTCCATATCTTTATGAGTTGCATCACGCTAACTATAAAAAGTTTAAGGTTGATAGTTTGTTTATAGCAGCTATTGGTTATGAAACAGACATCCAAAAGTTATGCGTGGGGGATGTAGAATGGTTAGTTATCACTTAACATTAATCGATGATCGTTTTGGGATGAATTTAGGAAGGTGACTCAATACTCTCAAAATGATTTTTAGTGTGACGCCTCTTACTGAATTTCTTAAGAACCGGTAGCATAATTTTGAACAGCGTGTACTACGAAAGCCTAACTAGACTGAATAGATGATAATGTTTGTTTTCAATATACAAAAGAATCTCTGTGTACTAATTTGTTAAATTTTCTCTTTCCATTGAGAAAAAAGCCAGAGACATATACTATGGTAAAATCTTTCTTGTTTCTTTGTAATAAAGTTATTTCGAGAGTCCTTCTCAAAATCGGGGAAGGTGGGAGTTTCCATCATCACTTTTTTACCAACTCTGACTACCATTTGTTCAGAGTTCACCGCACTGATAAAACGTAATGTAAAGAGCTATTCGCGCTTTCAGAGAGGCCGAGAACAAACCACTTGAGATATAACAAGAGAGGTGCAGCAACTTAAAACGTTGAAAAGATACAAAAAAAACTAACACGATTATAATTTTTAGAAAAAAGTCATTGACTCAAGACAAGATTTGGTGAAAGCATAATTACTGTTCAGTTTAAAGTGCAAGGACAGACTTATAAATATTAAACAAATACTCAAACAGGACTCTAATAGCTATGTTCACTACCAAGATAACAAGACAACATATCAAATTTACCTTTTAGGCGAATATAAATTACAGAAGCAGATTTTTCCCGGTTGTATATTTTACTCGATTCTTGCATGAAGCACATATAAACACTACTCGCAGTGATCTAGACCATCACCATATACCCTATTATTCTGCGGGCAACTCTACTAATATGGCGAATTTACTATCACTTTCAATAACCTAAATAAGATAAATATGATTTTCGTCGCGTCTAGGGCCATTTAAAGAGTGAACTGTCAAGGGTATTTTCTTTTGCCGTAATGCAACATTTTAAGAACCGTTCACAGTAAAGTAATAAAATTGTTTTTGCTTATGCGTTAGTTAGAACGCCTTTATTAAGTGCCAAATTGCCACACTTGGATCATGAGTAAATTATCATCATTAGGTGAGCCACTCGAATCATTCTGATTGGCTAGGGATTTGTCATGCTTCGAAAACCTTTTGCGCAGGCACTTCAGTGGGCCATACTTTACAGTGCTTTACTGTAGTTGTGTTTTATTGTTAAAATTTCGACTTACCGTTGACCCTGTTCGCCCTGTACGCGAGCGCGTCCGCCAACTTGTTTAGTTCGCTGGACAACGCGTTCTCGAGCTGTTTGCGTGCTTGATATATAAAGCGGGCGCGCGTGCTCGCGTCGCAGCATCCTTTGTTGAGACACAGTTCGTCGGCATCTGTGGAAAAAAAGAAAATTTTTAATGAACACCTATACTATAAAACTTTACTATTTATGTATATTTTCAGGCCGATAATTTCAGTAAATAGAAAGGTGCAAATGTCACAAGACACACGTCTTGCACTACCATGACGTTCATTGTCCTTCAATATTCATCATCATCATCATCATTTCAGCCGAGAGACGCCCACTGCTGGGCATAGGCCTCCCCCAAAGATCTCCAAAACGATCGGTCCTGCGCTTCCCGCATCCAGCGGCTTCCCGCGACCTTCACCAGATCGTCGGTCCACCTTGTGGGGGGCCTGCCAACACTGCGTCTCCCGGTACGCGGTCGCCACTCCAGGACCTTACCGCCCCAACGGCCGTCAGTCCTGCGAGCGATGTGCCCTGCCCACTGCCACTTGAGGTTTGCAATTCTGTGGGCTATGTCGGTGACTTTAGTTCTTCTGCGGATCTCATCATTTCTAATTCGATCTCGCAAAGAAACCCCGAGCATAGCCCTTTCCATTGCCCTCTGAGCGACCTTGAGCTTCCTTATGAGGCCCATCGTAAGCGGCCACGTCTCAGCACCGTAAGTCATCACTGGCAACACGCACGAATTAAAGACTTTTGTCTTGAGACACTGCGGTAGATGTTCCGAGAATACACTGCGTAGCTTCCCGAACGCTGCCCAGCCGAGTTGGATCCGTCGACTTACCTCTCTCTGGAAGTTGGACTTACCTAATCGGACTATTTGTCCCAGGTAAAGGTACTCGTCGACAGCTTCCAGTGTAGAGCCTCCAACATTCACTGGAGTGGGTACGACATGGGAGTTTGACATTATTTTTGTCTTCTCCATGTTCATTTTAAGACCCACTTGCTGGGAAACTCTACAGAGGTCTTCGAGCATTGTGCCTAGATCTTCCATGGTCTCAGCCATGACTACGATATCATCAGCGAAACGAAGGTGCGTCATGTACTCGCCGTTTATATTGATGCCAAGTCCTCTCCAGTCCAAAAGCTTAAACACGTCCTCCAGTGCGGCAGTGAACAGTTTCGGCGATATAACGTCGCCCTGTCTCACTCCACGCTGAAGTCGTATTGCTTTCGAGTTTTGGTCCTGGAGCCGAACTGACATGGTGGCATTTTCGTACAGTGACTGCAGCACTTGGATGTATCGATAGTCTATTTGGCACCTCTGGAGTGACCTAAGCACGGCCCAGGTCTCGACGGAGTCGAAGGCTTTCTCATAGTCCACAAACGCCAAGCATAGTGGCAGATTATACTCTTCGGTCTTCTGTATAACCTGTCGCAGCGTATGAATGTGGTCTATGGTACTGTAACCTTTTCGGAAACCGGCTTGTTCAGGAGGCTGGAAGTCGTCAAATCTACGTGCGAGACGATTCGTGATGACTCTCGAAAACAGCTTGTACACATGACTCAGAAGCGTGATGGGTCTGTAATTCCTCAATTGGGCCCTGTCGCCCTTTTTGAAGAAAAGCACCACCACGCCCCTGTGCCATGCTTCTGGCGTCTTGCCCTCGAGTATGGCGGAATTAAATAGCTTCTGAAGCGCTTTCCGGACTGGTAGTCCACCCGCTTTCAGAAGTTCCGCTGTGATTCCATCATACCCCGGCGCCTTGTTGTTCTTGAGCTGTTTGAGAGCCACACTAATCTCGTATAGACTGACGTCCGGGATGTCTTCGGTATAATGTCGGGTTAATTTGGCTCTAGGGTCTGTAGCCTCAATGACAGGTTTCTGTGATGTTGTGTATAACTGTCCATAGAAGCGTTCGATCTCCGCCACAAGCTCAGGACGGGATGTAACGACTCTGCCGTCCTCTGTCTTTAGCTTCGTCAGCAAGCTTTGTCCGAGAGACAGATCTCTAGCGAACACTTTGGAGCCTTTATTCCGCTCAATCGCCTCCTTAATACATTGAGTATTAAATTGGCGTATGTCGCGTGTGAGAGACTTCGAGATCTGTCTATTGAGTTGCCGACGAGCATCCTCAGAAGATTGCAGAACCATTTCACGCCTTTCTTCCATTAGCTTGCTTGTCTGCTCCGAGATCTTGCTTCTTTTTTGAGTACGGCGAGGTTTGAGGAATTTTGAACCCACCGTAAGGACAGCTTCTACGACCCTGTCATTGTATTCGTCCACATCCGAGCAGCTCTCCAGGCAATCGAAGCGGTTTGAAGTTCGAGCTGAAAGTGTTCGGGGTCCCGGATCTGGGTGGCTTCAGGACGGAGCGTAGACTTCACCAGTCGATACCGTTTAGCTTTTACATTTAGATTCAATGCGCCTCTTACCATACGGTGATCGCTTCCCGTATTAAACGAATTGATCACTGAGACGTCATTGAATATCCGAGTCTTAGTCGACATGATGAAGTCGATCTCGCTTTTTGTCACACCATCCGGACTCTTCCAGGTCCACTTTCGATGCAACCGTTTTTTGAAGAAGGAGTTCATCATATAGAGTCCTTCCCTCTCCATGTAGTCGGCTAGCATTTGACCACGGTGATTCCGGATCCCAGATCCAAAATGCCCCACCTTCAACTCCTCATCGCCACGCTTGCCTAGCCTTGCGTTGAAGTCTCCCATGACAACAGTGTAGTGGGTCGTGGAACCATGTATTGCCCGGGAAATGTCCTCATACATGGCTTCCACTTCCTCGTCGGGGTGCGTCGAGGTCGGGGCGTAAACCTGTATGACCTTCAGCGAATACCGTTCGGTGATTCTGAGTATAAGGTACGCCACCCTATTCGATACACTTCCGATCTGTACAATATTGTTCACGAGAGACTTGTGGACGATAAACCCGACGCCACCTTGGGACAGATCTTCGCCCTCCCGGAAATAGAGCAGGTTACCGGATTTAAGGATCATCGTGTCCTCGCCCTCTCTTCGGACTTCGGATAATCCTACAATACTCCAACGAATCCTGCCCAATTCCTTCTCTAGTTCCAGCAGCTTCTCCTCGGTCCGCAGTGTGCGTGCGTTGTAGGTTGCCAGGGCCAAGGTCGTTTGACGGGGGATCTTTGCCGCCCGGGGATTCTTCGCACCCCTGGTGCCTTCGCCGAGTTGGCGTCCGTCCGCGCCAGCACGGCTTACGGCACCGCCGGGCACTCGGGGCCTTTCGTTTGGTTCAATTTTTATCTCTGAGGGGTTTTGGGCCGTCTCCCACCACGCTGGCCCAATGCGGGTTGGTGGGGAGCGCCAGAGCCTCGTTGGTTAGTCGGCAGGGTGTACCGCGTGCAGGTGAGGTTGGCTTGGGATCCGTTAGATGTTGTTCGGACCCCCTTACACCCCCTTACACTTCAATATTTGCTCGCAGGATTTTATGTCTTCAATCACCCTCCAATTAATATGTGAATCTTATCTTCCTCCGGCTTCTAGATACTTCCAATTTTACGTTGCATATCAATTTCGTAATTTTTCGTCCGAAAATTTTCTAACTGTACGTTCCAACGGAACATTCACTATTATCTTTAAACCTACTTCATTTCAGACCAACTATATTACCTTTATAAATTGATTTCTCTTCTTTGGGTGAATGGAGACTTACCAATAGATGAAATTAAAGAAAGTTTAATTTACCACGAAAGAACAGAGTAAATTCTTCAGACATCGTTGTAAATATAAAGTTTTGAATTTAATATTTCAAGTAGAATTCGTTAGAGCAGTGGTTAGCGCGTTAGATCACGATACATCTATTAACAAAATTTTCCACCGTTTTTTTAACAAATACGACTATTAAAAAGAGTGTAAACTTCATAATAGGTATAATAATAGAATGACTTTACATAAGCGTTAAGTAAAACACTGATGTAAGTAATATGTTTTGCTTCACGCACAATTTCGATTCACGCAATCTAACTGATGTTGTATGCATTGCTTGTTAAAGTGACGACTTGTGAGGGACGCGTGTTTTACAGACAGACCAATATAGACCGCCCGGGGCGCCAGTGTGACGTCACTAAAGGTAGGGTGTTAAAAACGCTAGACGAGGCGAGTCGAGCACGATAATTGCAAAATCTACCATCTGTCTGTCATATTCTTGTCATTGTCTAAATCCGCAATCGCGATGCTACGGGTCCCAAAAATATAAATATGCCTATTGCAGTCAAATATTTCAAGATAACATTAAAAAGTTTCCATGATTACGAATAACGCAATATACAATAAACAATATTATCTAATTGACTTAAACTATTAAGGTTTAAAATTAAGTGATAGATCAAAACAAATTTGACAGATTTGTATAACCTGACGTGCTCCTGATATCAAATGTTGAAATATTAAGTTATGCTATAAAACCATAACAACTGTTACTCTTTGTGCCCATTTAATCACAAAAAACAAGAATATTCAAAAATTACGTTGGTTATACATCAAAAAGGTTAACAATGAAGTAATACAGATAAATCATCACCCTAACCATAAATATCACACCAATATTAAAAACTCATCAATGCTTTGCGATTCTGTGAAGCCAATTTATAAACTGAGACTGCATGGCATAGACAGAAGTTAGCTGCATTTCGAGTAGACTAGGGGACCCAGCCCTCACCCCTTAGGGACGCCTTTCTTACTATGGGCCCAAATAAGTTTAAACATCCGTAGGCACTAACTTTATTGCATTACAGACTACGAGGGATGGATACAGCAAATTCATGACTTTATGGGGTATTGAGAGTTGTGATTATTCCTTTTTGGAATGAAACACAGCGTTTAGAAAGCTTATAAAATTTATTTGAAATACCACCTAATATACCGAATGCAAAATAGATTTTTCATCACATGTTTTAACAATATATGAAATTATAAAACTAGCGTTGAATTAGTTATTTCCTGAAGTTAGGTAGGAGGTAGAAACGACTTAAATATGTGATAAGACTGATTATACAGCCGTCACTGCACACCATATGGAATCTTTAATCTTGTATGCATATGCATCCGTGCTTACCGGAACAGAGACGGGATTTAGCAATAATAGATTTACATATGCACCGTATC